GAATTATACAATGTGAACCAGTGAACCAAGGTATGTTATTATTATTATTATTATAAATTCGGCATATTATACAGAAAATAAAACACAAACGGAAAAAAACAAAAAGACAGGTTATAGCGGCATGCCCAGAGAGAAAAATGGGCTGAAGCCCGACGACACCATGGGTGAATTCTCTTTAAACCGATAACCTGTAAAAAACCAATCAAAAACAAGTATTAAAATAGATTTTTTTTGACATTTTATAAAATGGTTAAAAAAAAAACAGTACATAAAATTCATTTATAGAAAATATTGAAAAGATATGGAAGATAAGCTGCAGACTACAATGAGGCCGAAGGTATTAATAATTCTGCCTCACTACAATCTGCAACTTATCCCTTTGGCAAGAAAACAGGTTTGGCGATGCAACAACGATCAGAAACAATTATATTCGATCGTTGCTATCTCGCCAACGAGATACGGTAATAAGAAGAAAGTAGCCTTTGTTTTAAACGATTGAGTATGATATGAGTTTTCGATGCCCGGAGGAAGAGTGTTCCAAAGTCTTGCAGCATCCACGTATGTAGGGTTTTCGAATGATTTATGCGCACACAATTCTCTGCTGGACAGGAAACCAATGCAACTCCCGAATAAGTGGAGCTGCAGAAGTGCGAATGCTAACCTGAAAGATAAGACGTGTCGTACGATTCTGCAATATTTGCAGTCTCCGAAAATCTAAGACCGGTAAGCTCCCAGTCATAGAGTTACCATCCAGCCGAGTAAGAATTAAAGATCTCATTGCATGTGCACACGTAGAAGTATCGATAAATCTGCGAATCCTACTCAAATTACGAAGGTGGAAATATATAGTTCTACAAAACTGACTAACATGATTTTTCATAGAAAGTTGGCTATCAAACATGACACCAAGGCTTTTTATAGACCCAGATGGAGCATCGATCACTGCCTCACCTTCCCAAATCCAGACTTGGTATCGCGTTGCTATGCCTATTAATTGAATTAAAAAAGAGCTCCGTGTTCGAATCGTTAGTTTTAATTTCTTACTAACCACGGAATGCATTTCAAAAATACATTGTGTAAGTTTATACTTAGCAGCAGATATATCATTCTCCGACCTAGAATCAAAGCTAACATATAATTGTATATTATCTGCGTATATTATGATAAGCACCTCAAAACGCCTGATAATATCTGCGACAGGTTAAGCGTACAAGTGAAAATCGGGGGACCTACATACACCCTTAAGGTCCTAGCCCACCCCCCCCCCTCCTTCTAAGGTCCGTTTCGCTTTCAAAACACACCTCCCCATCGAAAATCCTGCCTACGGCCTGCAACATTTGTGTCCCTCACCCTGAAGTACATATACACGGAGGTTCCAGGTCTGTTCACACCTATGTTGCCATCCGGCCTTTCTGCGACCTAGCCTTTTGCCACTCGGCAAGTTGGCACCTCCGCATGCCCGTTGCCACCCGACCTTCTTCCATAGGCGTAGATCCCGGGGGATGGGGGATATATTCCCCCAATATTTGACAAGACATTGTATCATTCCCCCACCAATATTTTGACTATGTATGGGAAAAAATGGAGCTTTACACACTTCAAAAGACTGTCACAGAAATAATTTGCACTGTCTTATGCGCTTACAAAGATGAAAATTAGCATAATGTATTAATGTTGATAACAAAATTATTTTATCTGGTAACAATCTAAGCTCTTCTTTCCTTAGATGTTAGGTGTGCTTGCAAAGAGAGCCACATTTCACACTGAAGGGTGTGTACATCAGTAATGTTATGTCAATTCCAAGAATGTTAAGGTTGAAAGATTTTCCAAAGATGGATATTTTCCCCTTGTCCCCCGGTGTTTTTAATTCTAATTTCGTTGGAATTGATCAAAACTCCCTAAAATGTCCAATTTATAGAGGAAATTGGGCCATGTTAACAGGAAATGCGCACAAAATTTGAGGTTTTTAGGGACTTTCATGGGATGAAAGGGCATTTATAAAGGGGTGGGGAAGATTTTTCAAAGATAGATTTTTACCCCTTGTCCCCCAGTGGTTACGCCATCGGGCAGCATAGATCAAAGGAGTAACGACAGTTTTTTAAGTGGAGAAGGGGTTGCAGGTCTGGTCATTATGATATCTTCATTTTTATTCTTGTCTTTATTTTTCTCTTCTCCTTTTCTATCCTTTTCTTTTCCTCTTCTTTCTCTTTCCCTTCCTTTCCCCTCTTTCTTTTCTCTTATTACCCAGCACGGTACGCTTGGTCAGCCCGATAACAACCGTCAGGGGAGGGGCATTTTCCCCCTACCCCCCCCTTTCCCCACGCCTGTTACGACACTGGCTAACACGCCAATCATCCCCCACCGCCAATGAAAAATATTTTTCTACGCCACTGCTTCTTCCACGCGGCATTCAGTCGTATGTCCGTTGTTAATAGGTCTACCTGGATGTTTGCGACTCAGGTAGGTTGCCACATGGTAGGCCCCTTGGCCAGGGCTTCCCCCAGCTGGCCATTTTCCGGGCCGAGCCATCCTGTTTTTGACACAAGGCTAGTCTTTGCCATCGGGCCCGTTACCAATGAGGCACATTGCTATCCGACCTTTTCCCACTTTCAATTAAAGACAGTCATAATTTAGGCCTAAATATACACTTACTGGTAGGAAACACAATTATAATTATATTATTTTTTGCTACGAAGCATAACTCGTTTCATGCGAAAGAGAAACGGGAAGTCGTTTTGCAATAACACACGCGTTTATGAATGTTACAGTTAATGTAATTATTATCTCATTCAATCTTATGACCTACAAAAGGACCAGTGACTTACAAACAAAAAGCAGGGAAAACAAAGATAAATAGGCCTATGAAATTCTTATTGTGGAAGCAGGGATTAGCCTAACGCGTACGAGAAAGTTGGTTTCCCAGCCTCGACGTCGCGTTTCAACCCTGTTTGCTTGTTTCCTTCAGCCGGTCGTTGCCCTTTCTCCATTCAAGCGGTTCTTTTCCGTATACGAAACAAACGTCTACAAAAGATTATCTCTCTGTTTGACCCAGATTATTATTAAAACATACATTGAAAATAAATACCATGCTAATAACTAGTGATGGAGAGTTATTGTACATTTTCAGTAAAATGTGATATTTAATTGCGTTGCTCGAGTAGTAAAAAATGTTATTTAAATCTTAACCTACATAGGCCTACTGTGAACATTTTTAATGTTTTAGTTTTACCTATAGGTTTTGGATTTACTCACACAAGGCTTAGGCCAAGTTAATGCCTGGATGATGATGATGATGATGATGATGATGATGATGATGATGATGATGATGATGATGATATTATATTGTTGTTATTATTATTATTATTATTATTATTATTATTATTATTATTATTATTATTTATAATAATAACAACAATTGTTATTATTATTATTTATAATAATAATAATAATAATAATAATTATTATTATTATTATTATTATTATTATTGTTATTATTATTATTATTATTATTATTATTATTATTATTATTATTATTATTATTATTATTATTATTATTATAACAGAAGGGGGTACTAGCTGTTGTTGTAGATAGTTTATACTAACATTTAATTAATACCGTAGTATACAAGTATAGTTTTACAGCCCATTGGTAAGATTTCATATGCCACTGTAGGGAAAAACTGCATATAAAAAGAACAATAATAGTAACCCTCGGGAGCCACGGTTTTGCAAAGTGCCTACTCTTGTTCCTTATGATTGGAGTCAATCCGACGGTCCAAGCGAGTTTCATGCAAATGTTTCGTACGGAAAAAAATCGCGTTGCTGCCATCTTGGCGCAGTAGCAGGCAACAAGAATATGGACCCACTTACCACTGGGAACAAAGCGCTTCGTAACGTAATGGAAAAAGGGCAATATAAGCACCAACACATTTTGGATTGATCAAGAAAATAAACAAAAAATTAAAAAAAGGAAACTAAAAAGTTTAAATAATTATTCGTATTGGACACAAGTTTTTAAAAGTTTTATATATAATTTTAATTTTTATCGACATACTGTATTTGTTGATTATTATTGTTAAAAATAATAATAACTTTTGCATACTGTATATACTCGCGTGTAAGACCACCCACGTATAAGGCGAAATGAGTTTGACAAGATTTTTAACGGTTTTTGTTTGTCGGGCGTATAAGACGACCCCAAAATTTTAATCTTCGGAATTCCTACTTTTTTCTGCTTTTTATCTTCTTGTTACTGC